AGCGGGGACGCTGGGTCTCGCCGGGACTCTGCGGCCAGGGAGCGGCCCGAGGGGAGTGCTGAGCCCGCGGCACGGCTCGGGGACTCAGGGCTGAGCAGGGACGCGCCGTCACTCATCCGTGGTTTTGTTGCATTTAACAGCTTTTAGCTTTCCAGAAAGCAGCAGGGTTGAGATGAGGGAGCAACGGAGCTCCAGCCAGGATAGCGAAACCTCAGTCCCAGCTCCGACTCGGGCTCCCAACTGCCCCGGGCTCCCCTCCAAACCGTGACCTCCCTCCCCTCCTGGCCCCTTCACAGGGCAGTAATGGGAAACAGGCCCTCAGCATCTCCCAGCAGGGCCCTGCCCTCCACCAGCCCCCCTCTCCGTGCCAGAGAAGAAATCCTTGGCACAGGCGGCTGCCAGGGTGAATTCACTGCGCTCGGCCGTCCTGGGCACACACAGAGACACAGGGAGGCAGAAAAAGTCCCTGTGTACATGGTGCTCAGCAGGTCAGGATGGATCCTGCCGCTCTGCTTTGCAATGTCCCCGGCTTTCTGCAGCCTCCATCCCTCCCTGGGGCTGAGGGTGGCCACGGTGAGCGTCAAAGGAGAAGGATCAGAGGAGCGGGACTACGTGCAGGCACAGCCTCTCGCCATCGCCCCGGCTGCAGAGCCGTTAGTGCCACGTAACCAGCCCCCGGGAGAGGCCTGGTGTCCAAGCGTGACTATCTTGGCGCAGTCAGGCTAGCTGGCTACGTATAATCCCCAAATACCATGACCCAAACCGTTCAGCTCAGCTCCCACGCATCATCGTATTCCCTGCAGCTCCCTCACTCGATGGGTAGCAGGAGCCAGACAGAAAAATCCTGCCACTCTTTGGAGGCAAACGTGACCCCAGCCCAGCAGCCAGCAGGACGGTTACACCCATATGAAGCTGCACACGATGGGCAGAGCGGATTTTGCATCCTCACCTTTTTCTCCCAAGACAGACATGTGCAGGACAAAACGCATGGAAGGTGCCTTTTCCCCCGCTGCAGCCGCACGCAGGCCGTTTCACAGGTCACACACGGCCCCAGAGCCAGCCCGGGAGTTACGCAGCCGCAGGAGGAAGCGTAGTTTGGATCTAGGATCCAGGTAGGGGAGGATCCAGGTGGTATTTTGTGAGATGACTGCACTGCAAAATCCCTGAGCCTCGTACACAACCTAATTGTAAGGCTGATCTGCTTCTCCCACCATGCAGCTTTGGCCTCTGGAAACCAGATGCAACAAAAAAGCAGCTGGCTGCGTTAGCAAGAGTTACAGCACGCCACAGCCCAGCTTCCCTCTCCCCCCGTCAGGCAACAGGGCCCTGCTGGGAGAGGGGAAATGAGGCCTGCTTTTTGCATCCTACTTTGCCCTCGGCTCCTCCACAGCTCCCAGCACTGCCCCAGCATGCACATCCCCTCCCCAGAAGCTGGCAGGGAATCAGAAGCCAGCAGCTCTGCTTTGGCAGGGGAAGGAGCGGGAAGGTAAGTCTCCCTCAGTCTCTAAGAAAACAGGGATGCCACAGACTTAAGACTTTATAAAGGGACATTATTCACAGCTAAATGAGATAAACTTGGGGGGCTTATCTTCTAAAAGAGCATTCTCATCCCCAGAGGGCTCAGCTCCCAGCCGATCGGGGCCACGCAGGGGCTCTGCTCATACGGCAGAGGCCTAGGGACTCGGGCCTGGCGGATGCTAACAGCAGGCAGGGCCACTTCTCTTCCTAAACACAACAAAAGCCCCCAGAAGGCCCCAGCTCTTCAGGATCAGTTTTTAGGGCTCTGGCACAGCGACTGCAAGGGCCGAGGCCTGCTGTAGCTGTGCAAAGGCAGCAAGCACAGGCGCTGCAGCCAGCACTCTCCCCTGTCCCCAGCTGGGGTCCACCTGCAGCAAGGGCTTCCCGCTCTGCGGCAATCGGTTTCCAGCACAGTTCCTCCTGCCCCCAGCATCGCCCCTTTTTCCCCGACAGCAGGTCTGAGAACAGGGCTCCCAGGGAGGGGCTCATGACTTCTGCCCTGCTGCTGCAGGGCAGGTTCAGAAAGCAAAAGGCCCAGGACCTTTGAGTTCGGACTCCTGCATGAGGCCAAAGACACGCTGCCCTCGGGCAGGAGGGAGGCCAGAGCTCAGCTGGGCAGCAGGGAATACCAGCCCCACTCCTGGCTGACAGCTGGAAGGAGAAAAGTGTCTCAACAATAAGAGATGCAGCACTTGGAGACATCCACAGAAATAAATTTATTTCCCCTACCGTCAGGATTATGAAACCACAGAAGCAGAGTTTAAATATTTACAAAGTAATCCAGCACCCCACAGAGATCAAGAGAACAAAGGATGAGGGTATGGAGGGCCAGCCACCGCCAAAGAGCAGCTCTGCCGCACAGCCATGTGCAAAGGGGAAAGGAAGGAGGCATAAAACTGGCAGCTGGAGGGTAAAGGACAGGGTAAAACTTTAATGTGGCTATTCAAAAGGGGCACTGCAAAGAAGCTGGCAGTGAGATGAGGGGAGCTGCAAGGAGAGGACATTCCCTATCTGCCCACCCTCTTCCACCTCCCACACCGAGAGGAAACAGCCTGTCTCCCCCACAACCACAGCCACTGGATGCAGCACTACCGGGGAAGCCGTGCTGAGCCCAGGCTGAACACTGCCAGTGTTTCTCTGCGCTACCATAGTGTTGCACTGACACCACTGCAGTGCAGGGTCAGGCCAGCCCAGCAGGTACAGCCCACCCACAACAGCCAGCATCCAACCTCTGCAGGCCACCACCCACCCTCTTTCCTTTCGCAAGTGCAAACAATTTTGCACGTCCAGCAAGGATGTTCAAGCTGGCTCTGCAGCACCTCGGCTTTGGGCCTGCCTTTGGAGTTAGCCATATTTCCTCCAGGTGCCTGGAGCCCTTCTCCCTCTCTGCCAGTCCGGGCCCAGCCGATCAGCCAGGACTTAGCAAAGCGTTGCCCTCCTTCCCTCGCAGCCGGCAGTCCCAACCAACAACACTACCCGTTTGCAGCTGCACCTAAGATTCTCAGTTCAAAATCCAGATCCGGTAAAAATCATTAGGAGCAAACAACAAGGATTTTCTGCAGCGGGGAATGGCACTCGATATGTTTTCAGAAATCCCAAGAGCAGGGATTGGGGCCACCAGCCCTGCTCCCGGCCTCCCTCAACAACTCAAGGTCTCAGCTTTGGCAACACTTGTATAGCTTATCAATAAAACACCGTGAATCAACTTGTGAGATAAGACATAAGAGTCTCTAGGTTATTGCTACTGCGTAAGACAGGTTGGCTTCAGCCCTGGGGCCAGGGACTCCTAGCACTTCCTTGGCAGGTCACTCTGAGAAACCATATTTAAAAAATTAAAAACTGGGGCAAACGACTCCTCTCTCCTGTTCAGCTGGCTAGTCCTAGGGCACGTTAACTGGCAGGCTCGCTGGGTAGGAACCACAGCAGCGCAGGATAACTCAGTAAGACATCATCCTTTCATTGTAAGGTTCTCTTTGATGCAAGATCTTGGCTTTCTAATCAGCCCCAGACCCAGCTATCAGCATCTTCCAGCCCGCTCTCCACTCAGGCTTGAAATGACTGCACACAGGAGACACCAATGACTATTTCAGTTCCAGGAGCAAGAGGGAGGGCACAGAAGTCTGCACACATCCTCCCTTCCATCCCAGAAACACCAGCACCAGATGAGAAAGAGACAATTAGATGCCAGAGAGAAGGGGAGATTTAAGGGACTGTTTAAAAGTGACTGACACAGGAGGAGGAGAAAATGGTGAAGCCCAAGAAGAGGCCCCAGTCTTCCCATATGGCTAGGGGAGCCAGGGAGATGAAAGTGGATGGGGAGACACACAGGGACAATTTGAGAGCCCATTCACAGTCACCCCGCTGGCTGTTAAAAGTCAGAGGAAGCCACAAGGATGATATGCAGTCAATAAGAGCTTTCCTGCTGGCTACGAGGACTCCTTGAGGCTGAAAACCATCAGGTCCTGGAGTAAAGAGCTGGCCTGGCAAGGCGTGCCTGGAAAAACTAACTCTTGCTTTGCAGTCTGAGGAAATGTGCTCAACTGCCCATAACCCATCAGCCACACTTTTTAAAAAAAGTCACCTGCCTAATAGCCCCACAGAGAGCAGCATCTGCAGGCCAGAGCCTCAACACAAAGACCTGTGCCTCTTGCCCTGGACTCAGCTCTGGGTCACATCCAAGCCTATTTCCTGCTTAGCAGTCAGAAGCAACCTGTCCCTCCGGTACCCCCTGCCCACTCTTACGGCTCAAAAAGACCATCAGATCCCCAAGGCTGCCAGACCGGCATTTCTCATGTTCAAAGCCAGTGCTGCAAAGTGTTTTTACACCAGGTGTGCCAAAGCACTCTCCTCTTCAAAGCATGCCAAGGAAGTTAGCAGATCTTCCTCTTCACCGTCCTGGAACCAGCTACAAGAAAGCTAGCGCCCTCGTTTGCCACTGCACAGCCCAAGCACTGGAATATGGCAGTCATTCAAACCCTTCACCTCCTCTTTTAATCTGGTGCCTCCAATAAGCTCAGGACTGAGGTACTGCTCTCCAAGGCATGGATGCTTTCAAAACCCCACATTAAGCCGTCTGTTGGCGCATACCTGCTGCTGCAGCCACCTCGGCAGTTAAGCTGTGATACATGAAGTAGTACGGTTCAAGGGAAAGCTGGTGGCTTGTGAGACGTGTAATGACAATTTCAGAGCACAGAAGCAGCAGGGAAGCTTTATTTTCTCTGGCACAAGCTAAAAGAGATTTGGCCCATTTCTGCAACATGCTACTGAAAGTGTGCCGACTGCCATGAGCCGCGCCCAAGCCAGTCAATCTGCTTTCCTGCCTTTCTGGGCTCACTAGCAGGATCAGATGAATTTGCCCCGCCACAGCGTTCCTCTCCTCAGAGGAGCCCTGCCATCAGCACTCTTCTTTCACTACAGGGGAGGCTGTCAGCAAGTGTTGTGGCACTGTACATCCCCTGGAGGAGCCCCACACCTCCACTTTGAAACATGTGCTACAGAGGAGTCATGCAGTAGGGAAACAACTTCTCCCCCTTGGAGACTCAGGAAACCTGAGGAAGCATCTGATGAAGTCTGCTAAGAGGAAGAAACCAGGTGATCAGAGAGAACCTTACAAGGCGTATCTGCTTGTGCTCTTGAACCAGGAGACGGGGTTAGCCTTGCAGCCTTATCTCACACTGAAAGAAAAGGTGTCCATCCCTCTTCTTTCCCAATTGCATTTCTACCTAACAAAATGCAGAAAGGGAGCATGTTCAGGGAGAGATCAAGAGGCTTCAGGACCCCAACACTGGGAGACACCACTGACAGAATAAAAACAGAAGGAAAAGAAGCCAGTCCCAGGAAACAAAGATGAGAGCTGTTACTATGGAGTGGAGCTGACGCTTTCCCTAGTAAATGCCTCCCAGAGTCCCACACCTCCATCTTGCTGGATCAAGCAGCCACAGTTTCCTCCTTCATGTGCCCGTGGAACGGGGAGTTCACAGTTGCCATCACCGCAAATGAAGAGTCAGAACAACCGTCAGGATCACCCCCAAGAAGAGGGCAAAGGGAAGCCAGGTCTTCACAAACCCTCCTATGCTGCAAGATGGGGAAAAAAAAAAAAAAAAGGAGGGGGGGGGTGGAGGGGTTTAAAACATAAGAAACGAGCAGAAAAGGACAAGAGGGAGAGAAAGATGTGAGGACAACTGGAGAAACTGCAGGGAAACACAGTGCCCTTCTGACTTTCTTTATCTGTTGCTGGCACTGCCCTACATTATATCCTGGACATTCAGTCTGGGTTAAAAATTAAAACTAATAGTCCAGGAATAACTACATCATGACCAACAGGGCTGAAGTCTCCTTCCAACTCAAATCCAGGTCAAACTCTAGCATATTTGGTATCTACACAGACAGGAGTGGTGATGGCAGATCACAAACAAGGAAACACCATTAGAGCAGGCCTCACTATTCAGACTTGTGATGCATTTACACTAGACAGCAGGGACTGCACTTGCCTAAAAGCTGGTAGAGAAGCTCTTCTGGAACGGGGCATGACCCAACAGAAAGGGAGCAATGGGAAAGCTTTACACAGGGTAGTCCTCCCAGAATCTCCTCTCCAGGTCCAAAAAATTGAAATTAAGTTCCTTTCCAGTAAGGAAAGCTCAAAATTTTCCTCTCCACTCAAGCTGGAAGCTCTGACAAAATCTATGACTAGTTTTAATATAAACAAGATTCGAGAGAGAAGATGAGATGAGTAATCCTCAGGAACAAGCCATTCTGTGACCCCGCGTTCTGACCTAACCCAGCTAAAAGACTCTAAAGAGGAAGAGTTTGACTTAGCTGGCATTTCCCAAATTCCAACACAACAAATCTGCGCGTTGTGGGGATGAGACACTTCTCCCTTCTCCACAGGACCGGGCAAACCTTTGCAGGGCTAGGATGAATGAAAGAAACCGAGCCCGTTTGCCTGCTGAATCTAGACTGGTCCTCAGCTCACCTTACATACTTCCCATACAGCAGTGAGAAGAAGCAGAGTTTGACCATGTTCCAGGAGGTGCTGTTATCATATCTCATCAAGTTCAAGGCCAGAGCCACATGAGAATGGCAGTTATCACAGCAAAGGTTGTGCTGGAACAGAAAAAGAGGCACAGCATTAGAAATGCTGTCCCTGAGGCTCCCCATTGCAGCACGCTGTCCTGGTGCAGACCAACAGGTTCAGGTCACACCACAAGGACCCCGATGTCGTGGAGATGCTGGTCCATACACAGACAGGACATCAGAGCCGTACCATTCGGTGCTTGTACTCCTCCGAGGCATCATGCACGGCTGTGTCCCAAGCATTGGGACTGGTGGAGTACACTTTGCTGGGATCCAGTTTCCAGTACCTGAAAGGAGGAGAATAGATCCCTTCACTTACTGCTGCTCCTTTACAACTTCTTGCTCTTCCCAGCAGGCAGCTACTTGAAACAAAAGGACTCGGACAAATCTACTACCTCTGCAGTCCAAGGAACCACACTGTTCAGGACAAGCGTATGCTGTAGAGGGCAGCAGAAGCTAATGCTCAGCACCCTCAAGGCCTACAGCACCCCAGGGACACAGACCAAAGTCTTAGTTGCTGTTCTCCTCTGACAGGAGACCTTCAGGCCATTCAGAACACGAAATTGATCTGACAAACATACGAAACTCAGGCATCTCTCCCCCCATCCCTCCCTAGAAAAACATTAACAAGATGTGAGTGATGACAGTTCATTACTGTAGCATAGCACAGCACAAGCGTTATTTACTTGGAGTGCTTGTTGCTAACATTAAACTGTTTTAATCCTTCTTCAAAAAAAAAATAAAGGCGCCATACAGCTGTAGTTATTAATATAACTACGTTGCTGTCATGCTTCTAAAAAGAAGATTTAAATTAATGTGGTTGATTGAAAAGCACAGAAACAGTAGCCATCCATTCAAATTAGGGCATCTGACCACCAAGAAGAAAAGTGATGTTGTAGTGCATCTGTCTCCATGAATTAAAGGACATTTGCAGGTCAGTTGGTTAGTTTAATAAAAAGTAACGAGAGCGCTTACTTCACTGGCTTCCCAAATGCCATGTTGTCTTCCTATAAAGAAAAAAAAAAGTCTCAAGAGAGTAATCCCATACAATATTCACGACAAGCCTCTCACTGTGGTTGTTTAGCGATGAAACTGCTGAGGCAACGTGACAGTATTAAGACACCAGTCTTATTTCAATGCCTGGATTTAGATTGTGACTGTTATCAGACTCCTGTTCTAGGCCTGAATATATTTATACTATATACGCTAAGACACAGTCTAGCTATATAGCACATGCACCTTGTTCCCCTCTTCTTTTTAAATTGTTAACAGATTATTAACTCAAGGTTTTAAACGTCCTGCTCTGTTAAGAGTATGATTTACCCCAACTTTAAACTCCCTTACGTTCAAAATCCACCAAACTACAAAGCAATTTAGAAGAGTTTCACATACCTGCTACTAAGCAGCATGATAACAGCAGGCATGTTGAGCAAGTTAGGAAGCAGTTTCTGTTACTCAGGATTAGACTACTGCACAAGAATTGAGGTCCAAAATTCCCCATCCAAAGCATGGGCTACAAGATTTTTTCCCTCCTGCTCACCAAACTAAAGCAGGCACTACTTATCATATCACCCAGATGATCCGCACTGGACAACAATCCACAGAGAAATGGCAAAGACCCAGGATCTTCAGAAATGTCTAAAGCCATTAGTTTGCAAAACTCTGAGCTGCAAAAACCAGGGGATAGCTCACAAGTCCTCCACAAAGGTGACACCAGACCAAGCACAGATTTCTGCTTAATTACCCAGAACCATCATCTACTTACTGAGACGTAGTACGGTCCCGCAAAGTCCCGAATGACTCCAGCTGACGTGCAGATACCCATGTGGCCAATGATCGGGAAGAGCCATCTACCGAGGTAACAAGTGAACCATCAGGCTGAGATATTTGCCCCCTGATCGCACTGAGTACGTGCAACATGCGGTCAGAAGACTGCTGGAGCGGCTGTACAATGAACTGCATAGCGTGGAATAGACAGACACAGTTACAAGTTATACACAGCTGGGGAAAGACGAAAGCTGGTGAGCCAAAGCCAGGCAGAGACTAGTAAAGACACAGAAGAGGCACAAGCAGGGACAAATACATAGGTAATACCCAAACTTACACTACTACTCCTGAAAACAGATCTAGAGTCAGCTTATCTGTCGGGCAGTGAGACTCCACGTTTTTACCATGACTGGCTGCAGTTATGGAGAGAGCAAGTGTCCAAAGGCCTGCACTACACGCATCCTTGGCCAGGGAAGGGCAAGCTTCTGTCTCCCAGGACAAACCCATTTGTGTTTTCAAGTAAAACAGTCAGATTTAGAAGAAACTATCTTGACATAAAACTTGGCTTTGCACTTCAGCAACTGAAAAATGAAGCAATCTTACCCATGTTCCCATCAAGACCACACTGCAGATAGATTTAAGCATCCCAGACAGAACACAGGGCTCCTGACCCCTAGAAGAACGTTCCCTAGCCTAAATGAACCCATTGTTTCAAAGACCTTCTCCTCCTCCCTTGGTATTTACAGCCCCAGCAAGCAGTAAAGCTATGTTTCACCCCTCTCCCATCATCACTGAGAAGTAAATACTTCAGGATCTCTCCCACATCCTCCAGCACTCTCAGGTTTGCTGACCTCTCTCCAATTTCTCACTCCTTTCTCCCTAAGGGATTGTGCACAGCAACTAATATTTCAGATGAGATTACAACAGAGCTAAATAGAAACAGATTCACAAGCCACAGCCCAATTAGAGAGATCCTAAAACCATGAAATGAAATGCAAGGGACTGAAGTGCTTGGATGTTACAAGACAAGACGTGCCCTACACATTCAGAAGCATAGCTAAGGTTACAAAGAGCAACTTCTGCTAGTAACGTAACCCTGCAAGAGAGAGAAAGGACTCTAAACAGTTTGATTAGTTTTTCGCATTTGCACCACTTACCCTCTGCATTTCACTAGCTGATGCAATGCAAAGCAGCCAGTTTTACTGTCTGTGCAGAGTGGCTTTTATATTCAGCTGCACTTTCTGGCTGATAAGTGCTGTCGTAGCTTTGTTACATTTGAAGGCCTAAACATTTCTTCCCCGGCCTCCTCTTTCTTTCCCTCCTCTCTCAACATTGACTAGTTTTCAAGCCTCCAAATCCAAGGACCACAGGAGAAAGAAAATGTAGCTATTATGCAATTTAGCAAGAGACTTCACCAAATAACAACACTGAGATGGCTGCTGCAGAACATCAATGGGAAGATGCCGCTGTTTGTTAGGGAATGAACTCACAAATGAATACAAATGCCCAGTAACTTTAGCAGCAGGACAACACTCTTCATCAGCCTCAGTAGGAGATGAGAAAGTTAAAAGCTTTGAAAAATCTTCCAGGACAAGACTAAGATGGAAATTTTAAGTAATCGAAGAAGAAAAAGAGGTAGAAATCAAGGCTGTTTTGCAGCTGTATGTGACAGTAACAAGACAGTTATAAGCTTTTCCTCATTTAAAAAAAAAAAGAGTTACAGTGCCATTCCCAAACCTGGCATAGACCATACAGCATCTTCTACTTCTCTTTCAAGCTCTAGCTCAGTAAACGTATCATCGCCTAATTTTAACTGGAGAGCAAGAAGGCGGCATAAAAATAAATAACTTTTTGTTCTCGGAATACCCCCAGGGCGATCTTTGATAGCTTTTCATTCTCCCAGAGAAAAACCCAGAAGTCCTCCTTGGAGCCTGCTTACACTTGACTAACAAGGCCAGGAAGGCAAGTTAACTGAGGGCTCATTAGAAGGGAAGCAGAGCAGCTCTCCTGAAGGCATCAGGTGGTCTAACAACCCTGTGACAACACCTTGGCTCCAAGAACATGAAAGGCTTCCCGCGTTTCACCCGACCCCCTTCAGCCCGGGCTCCTGTGCAGACAAGCCTGCTCATGACGAGACGAGACGAGGGGAGACGAGGGGAGGGAGAGC